TTAAGAGTCTATAATAATAATTAGTATTTTCTAGACACTATAGGAAGAAGTATTAAAATAGTTTATAGCCTTAATAATAGATTCTATAAGTTTAGCTTATTTAAAATAATATTATTATATAAATTAGTAGCTAGCTATATTAATCTTAATATAGCTATTAAAGTCTATAAGTATTTTAATACTATTTTAAATAGTAATTAAGATATAAAAGTAGATAGTAGTCTCTATTTATAGATACTAAGTTATTATTATAGAGTTTACACTAGTTTAAGGTTATTTCCTAGCTATTCTATACTCTATATAATAGCCTAAATCTAAATATAATAAAGATAGTGTTAGGATTTTAGGTGTCTGCATTGATAACTGCAGATTTCTAGAGCTTCCAATTCAACATGGAAGTTCCCGTTAATGTTCCCGTTCTGCCATCTCTCACCGCCTTTATCTGATCTTCCAATTATCTCTTATTTATCTCTCACTTTGCTCTCACTTCGGCCTTTACTACACTTTCCCTTTACATCAGCCTAGGTCATGAGACCTAGTCATAAGACAAGGTCATAAGGTCAACCCCTCACTTCATGACGTCTATAACCTCAAGCAATCAGGCCATTCATTTTATGTGAAACTGAATATTTTTGTCTATAAACATGGCTCAAAACCCAGACTGAATTGAATAAGAGCTTTCATCTCAATTATTCTCTTACTACCTTTCTCTCATAAAGGCAGACCAAAGAGACCCTTTATCTTTATCTTCATCCATCTTCCTGGGGTAAGCTACTACGCCGTAGTAGTAGCCGACCTCTACGGGAGGTAGTATTTCTCTCTATAAATATTTGTCCTAAGGACTGCCCTGCTGCATAGGGACCCTTAGGCATTTATTTATCTCTCTTATCGTCTATACTACCAATCCCGACAGATAGTTTAGTTTAAAATAGTTAAGGCTATTATAAATAAAGTACTAAGAAATATAATTACTCTATTTAGTAGTATTTTATAAATAATATAGAGGGTTTCTAGATTATATAAATTATTTTAGACTTTAGTTATTTCTCTTTAAAAAATAATAATTATAAGATCTAGATTAATTAAATCTAAGATACTTAGAGTCTTAATCCTATTATAATATTATATTAATATTATTATAAAAGTATTTAAGTGCTAAAATAGGCTAAATAAGATTTTAATAATATACTATTATAATAACTATTTTATTATAGGTTTTTAATAGAGAGATATTAAAGTTTAGAATAGCCTTTTTTAGTTAAGGTTATAGCTTTATAAAGAAGATAAGAGCATAATTTAGTTTTAATTTATAGTCTAGATATTACTCTTTATTATAGAGACAGAAGTAGAATTCGTAAGAGTCTTAATATAATAACTAAGAAGCTTTCTTAATTTAGTCTTAAATATTAGCCTAAAAGCTAGCAAAGTTTTATAGAAAAGAGAGTATCTAATCTATAAATATATCTTAGGATTTAATATATTCTTACTACTATTCTAAAGGCTTTTTATTAATAAACTTAGCCTACTTTACTCCATAGAATAAGTTTATAAAATACTAAGCTCTATATATCTTTTAAATATTAGTATTATATTATTTAGATATAGCTTTAAATATAATATTAAGATTAACTAGCTATTTCTAATATTTCTAGATAGAAATCCCTATTATAAAAGTAAGGATATTATTAATCTTTATCTATCTTCCAGGGGTAAGCTACTACGCCGCAGTAGTAGCCGACCTCTACGGGAGGTAGTATTTCTCTCTACAAATATTTGTCCTAAGGACTGCCCTACCGCATAGGGACCCTTAGGCATTTATTTATCTCTCTTATTTTTATATACTACGCCAAAGAAGATACGGGTTCGGACATTGATACCGATTAATTGGGAGGCTTGCAGGTTTTCTGTCAAATTTTAAAACTCTATCCTTTTATACTTTGCTTGACCGTTTCCACTCTTCAGTAGCAGTCTGGCCCTCCCATGTAGCCCTACACAATAGTGATGCACCATTAACGCCAGCAAGTTACACGTCACGCTTATAAGCTGGTGGCTCCAGGAACCAACCAAAGTTCCCCAGAGCAAAGTATTGTTCCTGGGGGCTTTAGGATTGATTTCCAGGAGCTCAGGCGTGTCGGGGCCTGATGTTGATAAATAATATAATGCAACCAATGGTTACTTGGGGAGTCGACTGGAAGTACAATATCAAAGTTGCTGTCTACCACACATATCATCCCTGACATGCCCCTGTAGAATTCCACGGCACGATCCCTGTGCCTCCCGGGAAGTGTTACGTTAGTTCCCGAAGGACCAGAGGCTCCTGTGAACGGGTGGTTGTTTCTCCAGGACCAAGGTAGAGAGGGGAGGAGCGATCTGGCTCGCTCCCGGAAGTGATAGGTATAGTTCCTGGAGGACGTTTAGCTCCCAGAAGCCGATAGCATGATCCTAGAAGCGATAATTAATAAATAAACGTTGAAGTTTTCCTGGAGCATAACCCTAGAGAAGGTTTCCTCGCTTAGCATACGCGGGTCAGCTTCCCAGGAGTGTAAAGTTTGTCTCTAGGAACATGGACCACCTCTCCTGGGAGCTATATTGCTCCTGGAACCCTACGTAAAGTTCCTAGAGGCAACCACTGGTCATCCCAGAATCTGAAGCAAATCAGAAGGCTCGAGGGGTCGCAGTTTCAAACCGCCAAATACCTGTGTCCAATCAGCCTTCCGGAGATCCACAAGTTCCCCACTATCGTGTGGCCGAGGGTCTACTAGGGGTTCAAGAATACTTTCAAGTTCGCGGTTCAGAACAAGCTCATTCAGAACCACGGTCCTCGTCCTTCTAGTAGTCTGTCAGCGCAACCATGAACCTCATAGGATCGCATATCTTAAAGATTAATCCTTTAGAGATCATATGAATCAAGCAGGATAGCTTATGACATAATGTCTACGATGTCTTTTCCCGCTCAGCCCGCTATAAAACTGTTGTCATTGACCCAAATCCTGAGACTCTACCTCGTGGAGAATATCACCATACATGATTTTTGATGAATGTAGGGAAAAAATGGCATCGATGGAAGATCAGACAATATTGCTACATATCCTCTACATCTCCGAGGAAAAACGCGCAGTACACTCCTCCTTATATGCCTTTAACTGCTCCATCTTAATCTGCGTAAATAGCTCCATCTCTGCACGCGCCTTATCATCAAGCAACTCAACACCTGCACCGTCGTTATGTAATGCAGCCCAATAGATGGCGTCTACATCAAAGCTCTTTCTTGCCGCATAGTCGAACCAAAATTAGACTTCCGCAAAACCCAACTTGGGTCGAGACCTTCGACCCAAAACCCAACGCCAAGAACCCAACAATAATAACTAGAATAGTATTAACTAAACTTGAGCTCTATATTATTTTATGGAGTCTTACAGTAAAGCTTATTATCAATTTAGTAAAAACCTAGTAAGGAATTAGTAGATTTTGAAACTTACTATAGAGGCGATATTTTGGAGCTATAGCCTCTTGATAGTAATAGTCGTTCCTTATCGAACGTCTCACTGCTACCTCCCGAACGGATGATTGCTGTCTCTGCCGCACGAGGTACCTTGAATCCCAGTGAGACTCCTTCACGTGGAGATGGATAGAATTCCAGAAGCGTACCTAAGATAGCAACTGAGAGGCTTAAGCACCTCCGCCCCTCCTACGCTGCTGAGAACTCTCTCCCGCCTTTTTCATCGCCTCTTCCATCTCTCTCGCTTCTTTCTTGCTTCCTCGCGCTTTCGCTGGGATTCCTCTGCTGCCTTTCGCATGCGTTCCTCTTCCTCGTCATTAGGGACTTTGATGTAGCTGCCGCTATCAGTCATCTTGTTGCTTGAGAGGGTGGCTTTGTATTGAGCTGAATTGTTGAAGTAGCAGAAATAGTCTTGGACAAGGGGCTGGCTAAATTATCAGTCGGTAATTCTAAGAGTGTCGTAGGCATAAGATCCAAAGCTTTACCTCTTAAACCACGGAAATCGAGAAGATAATATTTCTATCGTCGAAGAATGTCTGGTTCTGGTCCTACAGTAACGGGAAATTGGCTGCTTTATATAATCTAGGAAGCAGGATGATGCTAATATGGTACTTCGCTAAGTGGACGGCGGTTAAAGCAACTCAGCAGTGGTGTACCTGGTGTAAGTTTCAAACGTTCCATCAGCCGCCTTGCACGTTTCAAGATACAAGGGACGTTCCGGTTTGAATGGCCGTCAGCACGCGGCATCGCTCAGCGCAGTATGCATGTCTCAGTATGGTAACCCTTGAATAGGAAGACGGGCGGCTATATACCGCCATTTATTGGCTATCAGTGCTGGGGAAATCTATCCCCTGCATTAGCCAATTAGTGATATGAGGGACTGTACATGTGTCCATGATCCCTTATTGGCTCCGAGGTCTACGTCATCCTCCAAGTCCAGCGAGCTCCCTCCAATAATTTCGTTGGCATGGATAGATACCACATATAGGTTGGGGGAGCGGATACCGCACAGGGCGGGCCATGCATACGTGGAGTAGGGGCCGCAAACCGAGCGTGTTCAGGGGCTGCGACCCAAGGCGGCAGGTTATTAATCCATGCCGCTCCACTTGGCCATTCTCTCAAACCAGCCTGTTTTCCTCTTATTCCACCCACATTATATTATCTGATACGGTCGAAGCTCTGTGTCGAGTGCGATTTGAATCTTCTAACGCAATATTTTCTTCACGTTTTTACTCTGCCTAGTCTGCATCCTTTCCCCATCTCCTCCGCATCTCAATTGCTCAGATGTCTCAGCAGAAGACCTCCTCGCTCAAGACTTATTTTGACGAGCTAGAAGAAACCAACGGCGATGACGAATGCAAGGCCTGGTTAAGTAGAGCTTTTGACTCAAGGGCTGAACTGGCAGTTTTTGTCGCTGGGCGGCGGGAAGGAGGGGGAACCGGAAAATATGTTGGTTTTCTTAAGGGTTCCTTCAACTTTAGCTTCCGCTTCAGCTTCGACGATGGACGGCCGGATGTCATTATTCGGTTTCCGAAGCCCGGACACGGCTACAGCTTATAGGGACGAAAAAATTGTGAATGAGGTCCAGATCATGGAATACCTCCACCAAAACACTGATATCCCTATTCCTCGTGTTCACAGCTGGGGCTTAATTGCCGAGAGTCCACAACACCTTGGTCCATTCATGATTATGGATTATGTCAATGGTACACTTTTATCGACTATCTTGAAACAACCCGATCAAGAAAATATGGTTCTGAACCCGAACATCGACAACACAACATTAGACAAGGTCTATTATCAAATCGCCTATTATATGTTCCAGCTTTCCCAACTTACGTTTAATGGTATTGGGGCCATCTCGAAGGACTATGCTTTAGGTGCATGGCACGTTGCCGGAAGACCCCTAACGTATAATATGAACGAGTTAGCCACTGTCGCCGGCTACCCTAATAGTCAATTTCCAACCGCGCCGTTTGACCGTGCAAGCGATTATTTAAGGTCGGTCGCGAACGAGCACTTAACCCACCTTTGGACCCAGCGCAACCTTGCCGACGATACGGAAATCGCTCAGGAGCGGTTCATTGCCCGTCATCGGTTCGCACAGCTAGTTTTAAAGTACTATCCTAAGGACTGCGGGCTATCTATACCCTTCTGCGACGATATGCGACCCTCAAATATGCTTATAGACCCAGAAACACTCCAGATCACTGCTATTCTTGATTTTGAGTTCACGAATGCTATGCCAGCTGAGTTCACGTATGACCCGCCCTGGTGGCTATTGCTCTCTGGTCCGGAAATGTGGCTTGAGCGCTGCGCGATGGAAGAGTTTTTGACCCTCTATGAGCCTAGAATGGAGCAATTCTTACGAGCTTTAGAGCGAGTGGAAAGTGAAATGGTATCAGAGGTTAAACAACCCGGTGGACCGTCTCTCTCTGCCCGGATGCGCGATTCATGGAGGACAGGTCGATTTTGGTTAGACTTCCGCAGAACCCAACTTTCGACCCAATCTTGGCATTGCCAAGAACCCAATAACCCAACTTCGACCCAACATGGTGCATAATAGTGCATAAGTAGCCCTAATTAGGAAGGTCTTGGCACTTTTATGTATATTTATGCAATAAACTCGATACATTTATGAAATATTATATATTTCATCCTATTTACAGGTAATTAATATAGCTAAATGCGATAAAATATTCTATAACAAAGTAGAACTTAAGTTTAGATCACTCAATAATATTATTTGTAAGGTTTAGGTTAGGGTTTGCTAATAAATTCTAGTTAAAACTATATATTTTATTCTATACTGAACTGTAGGTTTTAAAATCTATTAATTAATAGCCAAATATGGTATATAAATTAGACTTAGAAATATTACTTTTACAATTTGATAGATATAGCTTTAATTATAGGGATGAAGTAATTCAACCCCATCTCTATCTGATTTTTGCCTAAATTTACCTAAAGTGGCGAAAGGTTTACGTCTCTTCTTACTGCCTTATACACTACATTTTCTCTTTCCTTGTGGCTGCCTATAAAACTACAATTTTAGTAGTAATAACTTTTATTTCAAAATAAAATGAGTACTTATTTTACTATATCTATAAATAAAATCCTTATTAATTTTATAATATGTCTTTTAAAAATAGATTTCCTATAAGAAATATAGGTAAAAATACTATTAAAGTTTTCTGTACTCCTAGTCGCTTTTCACTAATTACTTAGCTTATTATCTAACAATACTATAAAAATATATTTACATTTATAATATCTTCTATATATTATTTTTTTAAAACTACAGAAAAATAACACCTAGGATGACCCTTAATATATTATTAGTGCTGGCTATTATTAGTGATAAGAAATAGATTAAAATAGAATCAAGATTTAATTATATTTTATAATTAATTAAAAGGGCTAACCTTGAAAGTATAACTAATAAGCATGTAGCTATAGTATATAGAATATAAAATATAAAAGAAGTTTTTAAGAAATTTTAACTAAAAAAATTAAAATTAGTATATTAAAATATATTATTAAAAAATACCTATAGCGAAGTAAAACTAATCTTTAAATATTATAATAAATAATAAAAAAGGAATAATTTAATAATCTAGTGAAAGAATTTAGTTATAGGATTATTAATAAATATATATTAGTATATATAGTCTAGAATACTATTTTAGCCTTTTTAAAAAAAGAAATGTATAGTCTAAGAACTATATTTAGCATTATCTATCTCTATATATTGCTTATATTTGCTATAGAATCTAGTTTATTCTTATAATATATTAATAACTGAAAAAAAAAGAATTGAAAAAACTAAATTAGCCATATAACCTACTAAATAATAACTAATATAGTATAGATTGTCTATTAAAATATCAATAAAAAGATATTAAATTATATTAGAGAAATATACTATCTCTATATAGTTATAATAAGTTACGCTATAGGCTTTTTAATAGTTCTACCTATTTAAAAAAATTAGTAAAACTAAATTATAATTATTATAAGCGCTAGACAAAGTTATATTGGTATTAATACTAGTTTGAATAAATCATTTGCCTATATCTAATTCTAAATTATCTCTAACTATATCTATAATAATCTGCATTAAAAAAGTTACTAAGATAAAAACTTATTAAAATAATGGAAATATATTTATTTATAGGATTTATTTATTATTAATATAATAATATTAATATATAGTATAAATAATACCTTTCTAGTAAAAAGGGAATCTTTAGATGAATTATAACCTTAAACGATAACGTAAAAGTAAATTATATACTATAATATAATATAATAATAGGATTAGTATATTATAAATCTAAAATAAATAATATTAAGATATAAGAAATATTAGAACAAGGACAAAAAAAAGATAGAGTATAGAATTAAAACAATAAGACTATTATTAACGTAATTCCTAAGCGAGTGGCTATTTTTAAAAGACTATATATTTAGAACCTATAAAACCCACTAAAAATCTATAAATCCTATCTAGGACCTATAGATAACTTATAAAACCTATCTATAACTTATAGATAATCTATACCTAATCCGTAAAAGTATATTTAGCTTTTAAAATTTTATAACTTAAGTCTAACTTACTATATTTAATCCTATTTTATAGACACTATACTTTGATAAATTACGAATAGACTTATATTTTATAAATATAGAGAATTAATACTCCTACCCCTAACCTAAATTCTTAGATATAGGTATTTTTTGCTAGTAGATTCTAGCCTTTTTTTAGGTGTCTATTCTATTTAGCTAAATAACTTAAATTCTAGTTTACTTAAAAAATAACTAGTTTTTAGCCTATTATTCCCTATTCTATTAAACTATCTATCTATATATATCTCTATTTAGTATATAATTAGATAACTACGTTAATCCTACTTACTTAGTATTTCCTTAACCTCTACGCTAACTAATAAATAAGGCCCTCTAATCTCCTCCGCGACCACTTGAAAAATAATAAAGCGGTAAGATAGGCAATAAGTAACTTTATCGACCTAAGCCTAATTAGGTAAAAATACTTAAAAATTTAGATTAGGGGTAGTGGGAGCAGTAAAGGGAGGTAGTAGGAGTATTAATTCGATATTTATAATAAAATAAAGTACAAGGACTAATTTAATAGAAGGGAATAATAAAATTAAGGTATATATAAGATAAAATAATAAAAATAAGACGTTTCCTCTAAAAGGTACACTACCTTAATTCTATATTAGATATATATTTCTATAGAATAGAAAGGCTATTCTAATATTCTTATGCTTCTACCGTAACCCTATAGACAGATCCTACTAAATATATATAAATAACTAATTACTACTATTAATTAACTAATATTTAGAGGAATTTCATTTTATTTTAGGTGATTAGAGCTAAAGTTAATAACTTAGGAGGACTGTGACTATAATATATATAAATAATAGTATTTACAGTATTTAATTAAGATAAATTAGTCGAATTATATACGCTAAGACTAAGATTTTATATAAATTCGGGTTAAGATAGGTTATTTACAGGTTTTCAAATCTAGATTTATAACCTACTAGGTTAGGTTCGGGCCACAACTTATAACCTAAACCCACTACGGGTTTGGGTGCGGGTTAAAGGTCTTGACCCGCATTATAGGTTAGGGCGCAGTCTAAGCGTAAGGATTATTAGATAAAAGACCTAATAAGATCGCTCGATTCCTATATAGTGGTATTTTAATGCGTAGTCACTATCTTTCTCTTGGGTGGTTAAGGGGGGGAGGGGGGAGGATTAGAACTATTAGGGCTAGAGTTAGACTAGATAAGGGACTAGATTAGACTTCCGCAGAACCCAACTTTCGACCCAATCTTGGCATTGCCAAGAACCCAATAACCCAACTTCGACCCAACATGGTGCATAATAGTGCATAAGTAGCCCTAGTTAGGAAGGTCTTGGCACTTTTATGTATATTTATGCAATAAACTCTATTGTTGGGTTCTTGGCGTTGGGTTTTGGGTCGAAGGTCTCGACCCAAGTTGGGTTTTGCGGAAGTCTAGACTAGATAGAACTATAAGTATACGAACGAGAGCTTTAATAATATAATTATAACTAAACTAATCCTTAAGGAAGAGAGTTTATTAATCATAGGAGGGTGCCATTTATTCCTTTATACGATCACGTAGAGCTTTCATATAGGTTCTTAGGAAACACTCTTGTAGAGTTCCCAGTATACATAATTAGGTATCCAAGTAGCTTTATATTATCCAGGGGCTATAACAACGTGAGTACTTAGTGAGGTGGGTGGTGAATTACTTTATATAATAATCTATTTAATTATATGTCGGGATTGGTAGTATATGAAAATAAGAGAGATAAATAAATGCCTAAGGGTCCCTATGCGGCAGGGCAGTCCTTAGGACAAATATTTGTAGAGAGAAATACTACCTCCCGTAGAGGTCGGCTACTACTGCGGCGTAGTAGCTTACCCCAGGAAGATGGATGAAGATAAAGATAAAGGGTCTCTTTAGTCTGCCTTTATGAGAGAAAGGTAGTAAGAGAATAATTGAGATGAAAGCTCTTCTTTTATTCAGTCTGGTTTCTAGGCTATATTTATAGACAGAAATATTCAGTTCATCTGGCTAATTACCTAAGGTAATATTCGCCCGAGGTAATCTTGCCGTAAACGTGCTATTGCCCGAGGTAGGTAAACGTGCTGTTACCCGAGGTAGGTAAACGTGCTGTTACCCGCGGCTATAGACAGGATAGGCCTAATAACCTCGGACCGGTAGGCAAATGGAAAGAGAAAGCATAGTAAAGGCTGAAGTGAGAGCAAAGTGAGAGATAAATGAGAGATAACTGCAAGATCAGATAAAGGCGGTGAGAAATGGCAGAACGGGAATTTCAGCGGGAACTTCTATGTTGAATTTAGGCATTGACATAGCCCGCCCGCGGGTAGGAAGTCCTACCCATAGCCCGCCCGTGGGTATACCCGCGCGGGTATTGTCTTTGCCTACCCGCCCGTGAGTTATACCCGTTATACCCATAGGTACCCGTGGACATCTAATTCTGCCTGATTTGGCCTGATTTGGCCTGATTTAGCCTGAATTATTATGCAGATTCTGCTGATTAATCTCTATTATTTACGTCTATTTTAGTCGGAACAAGTAATATCACCACTTTTCAGCCTACCTACTAGGTAATTTTAAAAAATAAATTTATTTTATATAGTTAAGGGTCGGTTCATTGGTTTTATTAATACTTTAGGCCTATAGAAGTAAAGGTAACAAAGTAGTGGTACAAATTATAGTTAGTGCTTAAAGATATATATTTGTTGTATGCGACCACACCACTATATTATTTCCTTTAATTTTGTAATTTTATTATAGTACAATACGAGATTATTAGGGCTTATTTTATTATTTAATTAAATTATTATAGCTTCTTTTATCTATACTTATCTTATAAACACTTAATTATTAGTGTAGGGTGTGTGGTTAAGATAAAAAGGGTAGAGTTGAGAGAAAAAGTTAAAAATTTTTAGGGGGCATAGCTCTTAGCGAATTCTAC